ACCGCGGAGTCGACGGGGGAGCCTGCCTGCCGAGTGTGGACCAAGGTAAGTTCGAACTAAGGTACTTCGACTTCAGCTAAGTTATTCACGTAGCTGAAGTTGCGTACCTTAGTTCGAATTAGGGGGGTAGTGTAGACCAAGCCTTACTGTCTAGAATGTTACCACTTTAAGGCAGTGTCTTTTACGTATTTGTACAGTGTTCAACATTGCTATCACTGCATGTTTTAATCAAATGTAAGAAAACTTTGCAAAGCTATTTAGAGGAGTTCATAAATTATGGGATAAATTCTCGAGTTCATGCATTGGACTTAACTTCATATCTTAAGGTGTTGGTAGAATAGCATAAGGCCTGTGTAATTGAGTTAAAACTAATTCTTGTAACCTGATGTATGGCACAATATGTGCAGTGTTAGGTTTTGGCTCAGCTTTGCATGACCCAGTTCTATTTAAGATGTATAGATATTATGGTGGTGATTGATATAGATTCTTAGGTGTTTATCTATGTCTTATGTGTGTGATGGGTTCGGTCACAGAGACTCCCTTGGCACTGTCACCTGACGTGCTGAAGCAACCTCTGAGCCTGTTTTCCCTGCCAGCTTGGGACTTCCAGACCCTGCCTTGTTAAGCCAGACACGCTAGCCTGCTGCAACACAGACCCAGGTTTGAGCCACGCCCCCAAAGTTGCAGACTTACCCAAAAACTACTCCAGCAGGTTTCCTGTTTCCAGCACCGAGACACCCAGCTCCCAATGGGATCCAAACCCCAAATAAATCCATTTTACTCTGTATAACCTTTATACAAGGTAAACTCATAAATTGTCCACCCTCTATTACACTGACCTAACGCAAACAGCTTAATGGAACTAAATCGGGGGGCCCAGATAATCTTCGTCCAAGAACTTTAAAGGAACTGGCACATGAAATTACAAGCCCATTAGCAAGAATTTTTAATGAATCTGTAAACTCAGGGGGTTGTACCATATAACTGGAGAATTACTAACATAGTTCCTATTTTTAAGAAAGGGGGGAAAAGTGATCTGGGTAACTGCAGGCCTGTTAGTTTGACATCTGTAGTATGCAAGGTCTTGGAAAAAATTTTGAAGGAAAAAGTAGTTAAGGACACTGAGGTCAATGGTAATTAGGACAAAATACAACATGGTTTTACAAAAGGTAGATCGTGCCAAACCAACCTGACCTTCTCCTTTTTTGGGAAGGTAACAGATTTTTTTTTTACGAAAGGAAGCGCAGTGGATCTAATTTACTTCTATTTCAGTAAGGCATTTGATACAGTTCCACATGGGGAATTGCCTAAATTGGAAAAGATGGGGATCGATATGAAAATAGAAAGGTGGATAAGGAACTGATTAAAGGGAAGACTACAATGGGTCGTACTGAAAGGTGAACTGTCCGGCTGGAGGGAGATTACTAGTGGAGTTCCTCAGGGATCGGTTTTGGGACCAATCTTATTTAAACTTCTTATTCCTGACCTTGGCGCACAAAGTGGGAATGTGCTAATAAAGTTTGCGGATGACACAAAGGTGGGAGGTATTGCCAATACAGTAACTCCTCACTTAACGTTGTATTATGTTCCTGAAGAATGCGACTTTAAGTGAAACAATGTTAAGTGAATCCAATTTCCCCATAAGAATCAATGTAAATGGGGGGGGGTTAGGTTCCAGGGCAGCTTCCCCTACTCTGCAAGCACCAGGGGCGGAGGGCTCAACCCTTAGCCTACCCACTCCACCCCTTCCCCCAAGCCTCCACCCTTAATCCACCTTTTCTCCCCCCACACCTCCTCCCCCTTTACTTTGCACGCTGCATCCTGGCTCCTCTCCCCTCTCTTCTAAACTCTGCAAGCCAGTTTATTGCCGCGTTCAGGAGGCAGGGGAGGGAGAGAGGAGGCACATCGAGTCCTTGCTCCTCCCCTGCCCCCCTCCCCCCCCTGCCGGGGCAATCAGCTGGCTTGCCACGTTCGGGAGGCAGGGGGAGCCTGTGCACAGAGTCCTTGCTCCTCCCTCCTGCCTCCAAAACACCGCAAGCTAGCTGATTGCCGCCAGCAGGAGGGAGGGGGGAGGAGCGAGGGCTTGTCGTGTCTCCTCTCTCTCTCTCTCTCCTGCCTCCCGAACGCAGCAATCAACTGGTGAGACCTCATCTGGAATACCGTGTGCAGTTCTGGTCTCCCATGTTTAAGAAAGATGAATTCAAACTGGAACAGGTACAGAGAAGGGCTTCTAGGTTTTCCATTCCTTGGATCATCCTATCTTATGAAAGGAGACTCAAAGAGCTTGGGTTGTTTAACCTAACCAAAAAAAGGCTGAGGGGAGATTTGATTGCTCTCTATAAATATATATAGAATAAATACCAGGGAGGGAGAGGAATTATTTAAGCTCAGTACCAATGTGGACACAAGAACAAATGGATATAAACTGGCCATCAGGAAGTTTAGACTTGAAATTAGATGAAGGTTTCTGACCATCAGAGGAGTGAAATTCTGGAACCTCCTTCCAAGAGGAGCAGTGGGGGGCAAAAGACATAGCTGGCTTCAAGACTAAGCTTGACAAATTTATGGAGGGGGTTGTATGATGGGCTAGCCTAACTTTGGCAATTAATTGATCTTTGACTATTGGCAGTAAATATGCCCAGTGGCCTGTGATGGGATGTTAGATGGAGTGGTATCTGAGTTCCTACAGAGAATTCTTTCCTGGGTGTCCGGCTGGTGAGTCTTGCCCACATGCTTAGGGTTTAGCTGATCGCCATATTTGGGGTCGGGAAGGAATTTTCCTCCAGGGCAGATTGGCAGAGGCCCTGGGGTTTTTTCACCTTCCTCTGCAGCATGGGGCACAGGTCACTTGCTGGAGGATTCTCTGCACCTTGAAGTTTTTAAACCACAAGTTGACGACTTCAGTAACTCAGACATAGGTTAGGGGTTTGATACAGGAGTTGGTGGCTGAGATTGTAGCCTGCGTTGTGCAGGAGGTCGGACTAGACGATCATAATGGTCCCTTCTGACCTTAAAGTCTGATTCTTTGATAGAGAGAGATGCACAGCTGTTTGCTCCCCCAGGTGTTAATCACTCTGGGTTCATTAATAAAGAAAAGTGATTTTATTAAGTATACACAGTAGGATTTAAGTGGTTTCAAGTAATAACAGACAGAACAAAGTAAGTCACCAAGCAAAATAAAGCAAAACTGCGCAAGTCTAAGCCTAATACATTAAGAAACTATTTACAGGTAAAATCTCACCCTTGGCGAGATGTTCCAATAAGCTGCTTTCACAGACTAAACTCCTTCCTACTCTGGGCCCAATCCTTTCCCCTGGTACAGTCCTTGTTTGTTCCAGCAGACATCTTAGGTGGAAAGCAGGGATGTTCTCATGACTGGCAGCCTCCTTTGTTCTGTTCCACCCCCTTTTAATGCTTTGTCACAAGGTGGGAATCTTTTTCACTCTGGGTCCCCACCCCTCCTTCTAAATGGGAAAAGTACTAGGTTTAAGATGGATTCCAGTATCAGGTGACATGTTCACATGTCCTGTGAGACCCCAGCCTCCATTCTTCCAGGGCTGGCCTGCTCCTACCTGGGAAGGTTTGCAAGTAAACAGAGCCATTTACAGGTCATTGATTCTGAAGCACCTTTAATGGCTTCCACTTAATACATTTACATCAGTAATACAAGCTTCTATCTTATTCTCCTAACTCCAGACATAGCAATAATACATGTAAACAAGTGGGATGAACACACTC